ACGCGCTTCTCCAGCACTGCCAGGTGACTGGCCACTTCGGCCTTCAGTTCGTTGACTTTAAATGCTCTAGGAGTGAAAAAAGAGAAGACAAGACAGAACTCGTAAGATTGTCAGAGTTAAAGCGGGTCCAGCCAACAGCTGTTGAGTGGCTGCCAGGGGGGAGGCCTGCCTGCAGGTGGGCTGGAGAAGGGGGGGCACGGAGACGCCCCCAGTTGCTTTGAGGGAACACCCAGTGTGTGGGGGTGGGAGGAGTCGAGACACCCTCAGACTATCCAGAGGGTAAAGCTGGAGCGCGGAGCGCGCACCACACGGTGCTGGTGGGGGCGTTTCCTCCCCACACCTGGCAGTGAGCATGCGCTGTCGGGGAGGAGCCAGGTCCTCTGCTCACAGCCCCTTCAGGGGACCTGGTGTCACCTCTCCAGGCTCAACCCATTCAAGCAAACAGTTCTTAGCCTTTAAGAAAGGGCCGCCATATGCCTACCCCCACCGGAATTACCCCGGGACAATGAGACGTCACAGTGAAATAAGTAAGAAACGGCAAGTAATGGCTCAAGAACTGGCCGGACAACCCAGAACGAAAAGGCCCCCACATTACTCAGGGGCTCTGTGACAAAGCTTATTTCAAATGGTGTCAGTTCTTATAGGTTGAACGCCGAGTCCCACAAGAGCCAGCCAGTTGGGAAAACTCTTGGCAAACGAGCCCTCATGCTGCACGCGCCCCCTGCCGTGGTCTTTGGCATAAGGCGAGTGTTTCCTGGGCCCCATCTGGCGGGCTCAGTTACAGAGTCACGGAAGGATCGTGTGGGGAAGGCAGCTCCTCCAGGGAAGTGTCTGCCGGCCAGGACAGCCTCCGAGGAAGGCAGCACTGCCACTAAAAGAACAAGCACCTGTGTCTGGAGGTTATGTATTAACAAGATTTTGTACCTTGAGAACTGCTCTGCAACCTGGGTCAGCACCGTCTGGATTAGTTCTTCTTTCTCTACAGACCAAAAAAAGAGAGACAGATGGGAAAAGGGAAGGGTCTGCAGGTCCCCACGGGCCCGAATCCATGCGCGGTGGCCATGTCGCACCAAGGCCGTGGTGAGGAGTGGCCTGCCTTACTGGACGCAAGCTCTGACCCCCTGCCAGCACGCCAGGGCCCCTCCTGTCCACCCCCAGATGCTCTTTCCCTCCTGGACTGCCACCAACCTGTCTCTTAACAGCCTCTCTCTGGAAGAGTGGCCTGGGCTACGGGTCTCCCATTGTTGGCACCAGCTACAAAAGCAGGCAGGCCTGGGTCTCTCAACTGGGGAGGTTTTCACTCAGTGCCCTGATTCATTTTATGGGGCAATTACCATGACAAAGTGAGTTCAAGGCATATTTGAAATGCACGACACAGTGTTCTCATGGCAGGTCCGGAGAGGAAGCAGGCCAAAGTCTGGCCCTCTGTGGCCTGGCACGCACATCGGGCTGGGCGGCTGGTTTTACAAGGCGCATGCAGGGCCTAGGCGGAATACGACCTGCCCGGCTTCCTGTTTCCTGCCTGGCCCGGGGCCGGGTGCCTCAGAGAAGGTGTGGATGCTCACAGACCCATCCTTGCCAGCAAGACCGTGCTCTTGGGAGGGGGTGGCTCCAGCCAGCCATGAGGTCACCCCCTAAAACACTGAGGACTTAGTCCTGACTTCATGTCATCCGTGTTGACACTCTGTGTAACCCTCCACTAAAATCAAAACAAACCTGCCCAAACAAACACAAAATCTTAATAATCCAATTTGGCAAAGGGGCTCAAAAGCTAGACATGTTCATATGCTCTGAGTTAGTGTCTCTGTTTCTAGGAGATACTCATATATGTACACAGAGATGGTCATCACAGTATTTTTTCACATAGTGAACACTGTAACAATCTATACATCCATCAAATGGGCATAAATAAGTGATGGCATAGCTGTACTGTAGAATCACGTTCTGCTGTTAGAATAGCTTGGAAAATGTTCACGTCTATCGTTAAAGCAAAAAACCAGATTGTAAAACAGTAATACAGTGTGATCCTGTTTTTGAAAACATTAGAGGATACATTCCAACATAATAATAGTTATTTTTAGTTGTAAGATTATATGTAAATTTTATTTTCTTATATTTGCTTCTCTCTATCTTACACATTTCTGTGATGAATATGTTAATTTCATTAAAAAAATTAATCTAAATTAAACTTTTTAGACCTCATCCCTTCACCTGCCAAGTGAACAGGTAGACCAGATGACCCAAGGTTCCCTCTGGCTATCACATTCTGTAATTTGATGAGAAGAAGAAAAATGACATTTCGTTATATCGTTTGAAGTTTTAAGAGTAAATATGTCACCAGGAAACTTCACAGAACTGTGTGTTGAGCTGTGTTGACTCGAGGCCCTAGGTTTCAGAGAGGCCCACACCTACCAGGGAAGAAAAACGGCGACCTCAATGACAAGAACCACCAGTGAGAAGGCTTCACAGGCCCTCCTTGGTGAATTGTCAGGATTTTACATCACTCCTGAAATCTTTCACAAAGTAATGTATCACATAGTCTTCAAGAGTTAATGATCTCAAAGTCTTGAGATAAATTTAGAAGGCCATCAAACAGTTGACATCTATAGACTAGTCTGCTGAACAACAGCAGAACACACATTCCTTTCAGGTGCCTATGAAGCATGTACCAACACAGACCATATCCTGGACCATACAGAAAATCTCATAAAATTTAAAAGAATTGAAACCATATAGTGTATGTTCTCTGACCATAAGAGAATCAACCTAGTAATCAATAATGGAACTATAGCAGAAAAATCTCCACACATTTGGAACTAAACAGCACACTTGTAAAAAAGCCATGGATCACAGTGGAAGTCTCAAGAGAAATTTAAAAAGATGTTAAACTGAGTGAAAATGAAATATAACACATCAAAATTTAGCCATGGGACACAGCTACAGCAATGCTGAGAGGGACAGTTATAGCACTAAATGCTTACTTGAGAAGAGAGAAAAAACAGCTCAGTAATCTAAGAACCTAGAAAAAGAAGAGTGAAATAAACCCACAACAATAACAGAAGGAAGGAAAGAAATGATAAAGAGCAGAAATCAATGAAATAGAAAATGGAAAAACAATGTAGGAAATCAGTGAAAGAAATAGCTGGTTATTTAAGAATATAAATAAATTGACAAGCCTCTAACAAGACTGTCACAGAAACACAGAACACACAGATCACCAATATCAGGAATAAAAGAAGGAACATCACTACAGACCCGGCAGTTATCGAAAGGATAGTAAGAAAACACCACAAACAACATTATACACGTGAATTTGACATCTTAGATGAAAATGGACCAATTCCTAGAAAAGCATGAACTACTACATCCATTCAATATGAAATAGTTAATTTGAGCAGCCTATAAGTGTTAAGGAAATTGAGTTTCTAATTAAAAAAAATAAAATTCCAGGTGCCGATGGTATCACTGGAGAATTCCACCAAACATTTGAAGAAGAATTAACACAATTCTAAACAATTTCTTCCAGAGAATAGAAGAGAAGGAAACACTTCCTGATTCATTTTATAAAGAGGGTATTAACTTGATACCACATCCAAAGGCAACAAAAAAATAACTACAGACCAATATCCTTTATGAACACAGATGCACAAGTCCATAACGAAATATTAGCACATAGAATTCAGCAATATACAAAAATAATTATACATCGCAATCAAGTGGGGTTTATTCCACGGATGAAAGGCTCATTCCACATTCAAAAATCAATCCATGTAATCCACTATAATAACAGGTTAAATCTAAAGAAGAAAAAACTCATCTGATCATATCAGTTAATTCATAAAAAGCACTTGAAAAAATTCAACACCTGTTCCTGATAAATCCCTTCAGGAAAATAGGAATGGAGAAGAACGTCTTCAAGCTGATAAAGAACACCTATGAACACCCCACAGCTAACATTATACTTACTGGTGAATGACTGGCTGCTGCTTGCCTGAGATTGTGACAGAGTAAGAATCTGCTCTTGCTATTCTCCTTCAACACAGTGCTGGAAGTTCTAGCCAGGGCAACAAGGTAGGAACAGGAAGTAAAAGACATGCAGACCAGGAAGGAAGAACTAAAACTGTCCCGGTTTGTCGATGACGTAATTGTCTATATAGACAGTTCCCAGGGATCTACAGAAACCTTCTTAGACTAGCTAGTGATTTCAGCAAGATCACGCGATACAAGATAAACATACGCAATTGAATTGTATTGGGTTGTCAGAAAAGTCATGACGCATTTTTGCAATGAAAAACATAGAAAAAAAATAAGTCATGACTTTTCCGACAACCCAATATTTACATATACTAGCAATGACCACTTAGACACTGAAATTAAAATCACAATACCGTTTACAAACACTTAAACTCAGGTGTAGCTATAACAAAGCATATGCCAAAGCTGCATGCTGAAAACCATAGAACTCTGATGAAAGAAATCAAGGAAGATATACATACATGCAGAGACATACCCTGTTCATGGTTTGAAAGGCTCAACATAGGAAAGATGTCAATTCTCCCAAATCAATAGACAGGCTTAACACAGTTCCTATGAAAACCCCATCAGGATTTTTTTTTCGTAGAAACAAGATTTTCTGACATTTATAGGGAAATGCAAAGAAACTAGAATAGCTAAAACAGTTTTGAAAAAGAAGATGAGATGGGAGGACTCAGTCTCTCTGATTTTAAGACCTGTTATGTAGCCACAGTGATTAAGACGGGTGACACTGGCAGAGGGACACACACAGAGGTCACTGGAGCACAACAGAGAACCCAGAATTATCACCACACAAACTGCCCGACGGATTTCTGACAATGTGCAAAAGCAGTTCAATGGAGGAAAGGCGACCTTTTCACCAAATGGTGCTGAAGCAATTGAACATTCAGAAGTAGAAAAATGAGGCTCGACCTAAACCTCACAGTTTATATAAAAATCAATGCAAAATATAAAACCGTAACACTTTTAGAAAAAAATAGGAGAAAATCTTCAGAACCTTAGACTAGGCAGGAAATTCTTAGACTTGACACCAAAAACACAATCCATAAAAGGACAAACCGATCAATTGGACTTCATCAAAATTAAAGCTTTTGCTCTGAGAAAGATCCTGTTAAGAGGATGAAAAAATAAGCTCCAGTCTGGGAGAAAATGTTTGCAAACCATTCATCTGACAAAGACCTGAATGCAGAATATGAAGTTAACTGTCAAAACCCAACAGCACCAAACAAAGTCTGAAAATGGGCAAGTGACACGAGCAGACATTTTTACTGAGGAGAACACATTGATGGAGAATACGGACATGAAAAGATGCTGACCATCATTAGCTGTTAGGAAATGCAAATGAAAACCATGGTGAGGTATCACTGTACATTTATCAAACAGGCTAAAATAAGAAATAGTGACAACCCCAAATGCTGGTAGAGATGTGGAGAAACCGGTCACTCACACACTTCCGATGGGAAAGTAAAATGGTGCAGCCACTCTGGGGAATGGTTTGGCGGCTTACTTTTAAATTATTAAGTGGACTCCAGAATTATTTGGGTTCTCCACTAATGCCCTTTTTTCTGTTCCAAGATGGTTTGGCAGCTTCTTAAAAAAAACTTAATATATAACTACCATACGACTTAGCAATTGCACTCCAGAGCAGAGAAATGAAAATTTATGTTCACAACATGAAAATCTGTATGTGACGTTCCGAGCAGCTTTACTTGCAATAGCCCCAAGCTGGAGACAACCCAAATGCCCTTTAGTGGGGAACGGACAGACAAACTGTGGTCCATTCACCCCCAGGGACATGACGCAGCAACGAAAAGGACCGAACTATCAATACGACAACCACTTGGGTGAATTTCCAGAGAATGATGCTGAGTAAAAAAAGCCAATCCCGAAGTTACCTACTATATGACTGCATTTATGAAACATTCTTGAAATGCAAAATTACAG